CTGACCCTAGTCTTTTTTGTGTGGACCCCTGCAAGGGACATAAATTATTTGAGCTGATCGACCTCTTCTAGCTCCATGATCTGACATTGTACAATCAGTTTTCCAACATTGACATTGAAAAGAAAGTGTTCTTTATGCAAGCTTTACTTTGTTAAACTGTAGTTGGATCACTAGAGATCGCCAAAGTCGAAACAAAAGATAGGAAGAAAAAGGATAATCCCTACCTAACGACCCTAATTGTTTTCAGGACTGAAACAGGAAACACAACATTTTTTGTCCTAGCTAGGCCTAACGCAATTTGTTACATACCCCTGCACAGATGATGATTCCATCCCCCCTCCCCAAAAAAAGAAAACCAGAAAGATCTTAAGTTGCAGTCCTACAACATCTGATCCAAAAGCGTAATTGAGGAGAGGAATGTACGGTATTGAAAGCTCCTTGGTTTAATAGATGATTGAAGTCGACTCACTATCACATAAAATCGCCCCCCTCCCCCATAAGTTGTCGTCTGCAAAAATTTGCAAAACCAACTTATTCCGAACTCACCTTGCGGATACAGTCGATTCTAGCAACGCCTATCATATCTCTTACTGAGCTAGCTCGTTTGTGTCCATAAAAGTGTCAAATCTGAGACAAAAACAACGGATAATTTGCTTATCTTAGTAGATGTACACGCATGTTCCCAACAACGTCGTCTGCCCTTGCACTCTAACCCTTGACCTTTTGGCGCCAAATTTCAAGTCGGAACCAAGATGGCGTCTCTACAGGACAAACATCGGAAGGTCTGTTATATTTCACAGCGTTTAACCCTGAGAGAAGCGTAAATGTTGTCATTTTCTTCCGAAAGATCTTTCTGTGGTTTTGAAGGGCACGATGCCATCTTCGAAATTGAGATTTTTTGAGCATAATTATAATGGATCTAGCTGGTGACAAGTGTTGGTCAGTTTGGTCTTAGAGTCTTACATAATGATTTTTTTTTATACAATAACAAGACACAAGGTTCTCTTCATGATTTTCAGCATTGTTACTTAGGCATTCGATACATTTAAAATCATAAGTATGGAAAATGTAACGTGAGCACGAAAGTTCATCTGATTTGCTGCATTGACTGTCACTACCCGAGTTTGAAATGTGAAAGAAATAATGGTAAAAGTTTAAACAGTTTTTAGCATGATACTTCTTAAATTGTGAATTGTGCAGGTAAAATTTGTCTGGGGCAGACATTTTTAATGTTACCTGCACCAGTGCAGGTATGCAGAAAAAGTATCTCCAACCCTTTTATAGCAATATGATACTGTAAATCACAATTTTTTCACGTTACTTTTATACTAATTTGCGGTTTGCGTGGTCACTTTTGTACCGAGAACTTATCATTACGGTGAACAAATAATTTGCCGACTTTCTTTTTGCTGCACCTGCTGCTACCTAAACGTATAGTTCTCCGAATATGTCCATTTTTATGGACCACAAACTTTTGCTACTGCGAACGTAAAGTGATTTACAGTATGTAAGTTTCTGCTGTTCCCAGGTGCGACATTGGTTGGAGCAGATGTTTGGAGGAGAGACGGTGCCTCCATACGAGGTGAATGAGACCACCATCACCGTCCTGTATGACCTGGCCTGTAAGAACCAGGCCGTGGATAAGGACACCAAACTACTGTTAGAAGACCTGGGGCAGAAGGCTGATGAGTACAATGCAGAAGGTACCATTTAATTTGAAAGGAAAGGCACATCCTGTCAGAAGTGCAAAAATCTTATTGACAGGAACATCCTGTCAATAGTGGGAAATAAGTATTATTGACAAGAACATCCTGTCAAAAGTGCAAAAATCTTATTGACAGGAACATTCTGTCAATAGTGGGAAATAAGTATTATTGACAAGAACATCCTGTCAAAAGTGCAAAAATCTTATTGACAGGAACATCCTGTCAGTAGTGGGAAATAAGTATTATTGACAGGAAGCACTAGCCTCTACCAGGCTTTAGGAGGCGGCCGGAAAGAGTAAGAATTGGCCAATAGAGTAACATGCCATTGAAGTTGGTCCGCTAGAGAGTACAGTCTGCCGCACCCAATTTCTACTCATTCCAGCAACCTCCCGAAGCCTGGTAGAGGCTAAGTAAGTACAGGAATTAGTTTGAATCTGTCACATTTGCTAATAGGGGTTGGTCCAACACAATTTGTGCCTCCCCCAGACACAGATTTAAACATAGATGTGGCCAGCAGAACTTTTTGTTTCCATTTTTTGATGCACAAGTTATTTTTTTGGTTAGTTATGTTGTTTCACTTGCTCAACCACCGGCCACATTAAGTCCTACACTCCCTCTGGATGTTAAGTCGTGACTTTGTCCAGTAGTACTTAAGATAAAAAGAAGATAAGATAATAAACTTGTCAAGAGCAAAAAATATTTTTAAAAATTCATTGACAGACACAGTGCCTTATTGAAATTGTAATCTATGGTGTTGCATGCTTGATATACTTAATCTCCATTGATGTCTATTTGTTTTTACATCACGATCCCACAAAGAATCAATGTCCTCACTTCATGTATGGGTAAAATAAAAACGCAAAATGTATGTATATGTCTTTGCTTCTTTTCTCAGCGAGAAGACTGTCCAGAACCCTTCAGTCTGTAGGCTTGATGCCTGAGAGCCTGACTAAGACAGGGACTACAGCTCTGAGTACCCTGGTCAGCACAGCACAAACACTGGAGCTCAAAAACACAGCAACAACAAGGTATGACATGTTAGAACAGATGTCGACTTTGTTCTGGCAAACTTGTAAGGCCATGTTGATTTGATTATATGGATGACATCCTCTTGGAACCCCAAAATGTGTGTGTGAATGAAAATTTTAAAAATGTTGGGAAAAAAAGTTGCCTTCATTATGAAATCTACATAGTCATGAAGGTTGAACATATGACTAAACACAGAGCATGGTATAGTGAATAATAGACTCTTCATTTTCATCACATTTTCTTATTTTCCTTTGGAATCGATTTGGCATTCTACGACATTAGTATCGTTTTCCAATATTTTTTTGGCAATATACGGCATATATTTGCTCACTTTGCAGCTGCTTTGTATGATTTACCGTATAGTCAAAAACTTTGCTTTTGGAAACGGATGAAAATTCATGCACATGTGGATGTCATCCAACATGGCCTAATGGATGGTGGCAGGGATGTATGAATGTGTTTCTAATGTGCTTCCCATCTTCTGAACAGTTTACCCCTGTTCTCTTGTAATCAGAGCAGAACAGAGCACCTTGTTTTAATTCAAAGTTATAAACTGGTTTTTTCTGTCACCTCCAGCTATCTGTTGGCCATGAAAGACTTGTCACAGGAAGCGCTAGATGTGGAAGACTCTCGTAGGGAGGAGCAGCACCTCAGCAAGGAGCTTCTCAGGAAAACCACGACTGCCATGGCACATCTTAATGCTATTGAAAGGTGAGGAAAGACATGGAAGGGGCAGAGGAATGTTATGAAAAAAACAGATATAGCATGAAAATGGGGAAAGTGAGGAAGTGCAAATTAACATACTGATTTTTTTCATGGTACTTTTATGTTTGCGATTTTCGCAGTCACTTCAGCTGCAAGCTTATTACTGTGAACAAATAATTCACCAACTTTCTGTTATCTGCACCTGCTGCCACCACGAACATATAGTTCTGTGAACACCTGTCCTCCATTTTTATCAGACTGCGAACTTTTGAACATAAAGTAAATTACAGTTAAGGACTGCAAGAAAGCTTTGAAGAAGTTTTGTATTCAGTACATTGTCAATCCCGGCTGGTACGCTAGCATATGATAGTTAAACCCAAGTATGAGTGTATGCCATTGCTACCTTCTTTGTACGTACTCTACAGAGATGAAGAATCTTTGGAACAGAGGGAGAAGATGACTGGTCCAGACCTGGAGAAGAAGGCCCAGACTGCCGTCTTCTTACAGAGCAAGGCAGCAGAGTACAGGAACTCACTTCGACAACTCAGGGTGAGCTGCTATTACTAAGTGCTGTCAGTCTTCCCCACCCATGTGATGTCAACCTGCTCTGACAGACACAAACTCACATCTCAGCCACCCAAAAAATACTAGTACTTTGTTACCTTAAGTTCACTTCATTTCCTGTGTCTGACCTTTTGCCTCCTGTCATTCTGCCTGTCAATCTTCCCCCACCCACATGCTATCACCCTGCTCTGACAGACACACAGCCCAGCCACTCAAAACAATACTTCTGTACTGGGGAGTAACAACTACCAGTCCTGGAATTGATACATTTTTACAATTGGCCAGTGCAATGGCCAAGTGGGAAGAGTGCTCGCCTTGCATTCGATAGGCCACGAGTTCGATCCCTGGCTGAACCATACCAAAGACTTGGTATATACTACGTGTACTTTCTCTGCTTAGCACTCAGCACTATCAGTGGATTAGCCCCCTGCTGTAGTGATTGCACTGCTGTGCGGCCCAGGGCTACTGAAACGGAGATGGGTACTGCCCTATGCTTCACCTGATACGGAAAGGAACTTTTTAACAGATACATTTAACTTATTCCTATGCAGGGGCAGCTGGAAGCTTCAGGAGTTGACCCCACCTTGTACCACCATAAGTTAGTCAACCAGGCTGAGGAACTGGACAAGAAAAGGGAGAAAATAGCTGAACTCAGGGCACAACTGGACTCATACCACAGTCTACCACCAGTAAGTATTTGTGCATACTAGGAAACTCACCAGTGTTAGAAACCCTACTTTTGTATAACATAACTTGTGTATAATTGTATGATCCAATGTATGTACATGTATATTTCATTGTAAATGTTGACTCTGTATCATTTGCAATTTTGACAATCTCTCTTTTCTCTTACAGGATATTTCTCTGGCAAGGGTCAAAATAGAAGAGGCAAAGAGGGAATTGGCTGGTCTTGAGGAAGAGATCAACAGAAAACTGGAAATGATGACTTTGTGAGATACCCAAAATAACATGTAGGACTGACTACAATGTGATAGTGGCATTTCAATCTTATGTTGACACAGATATCATGTACATGTATATAGCTACCATGTATATAGCTATCATGTACATGTATATAGCTACTCTATAGCTACCATAAGGGAAACAAAAAGTATTGATGGAGTTTTCCCTGATTGACTTTTATTATCATCTGTGGTGGCTTTGTTTTACACATGATATGAAAAATATTCCTTAATGTAAAGTACATATCTACAAGAAGATAGACAGCAGAATAACAGATGTATATGACTTTGCTGGGCACATCACTAACCATATTATATTTCATCTGTAGAATCACTTTCTTGGAAATGAATTTCATGAATTCCAAACCATTTCCAGTGGGATTGAAGTATGCAAAATGGCAAAGGGTGAACAGAGGATTGTGAAGTTCTTCAAAGCTGATGCATTAAAATGGCTCTCTTTCATGAAAATGTTTCCTTATCATTTGACAACTTTGTTTAGTCTTTTTAGTGTAAATATCATTAAAAAATTCAAAGACTAACACAAGTGTTTAATAAGTGTTAAATATCAACAAAAGTTCAGAGTAACACAGACATTATAGATGGAGAAGACTGACATTCCTACAATATAAGCAATGTACTCTGCTCTTTCATATAGAAAGTTGGTCACATTTTTCTGCAGCATTGTCGATACCTGCTGCCATATCCTCCCTATGCCTCAAAGGGCCCTGCTGACTTCCCTCTCCTTCAGTCTTATCAGAACTTTTAGAGTCTTGAACATCTGGAGAAGCAACGTCTGAATTCTCATCAAGAACCTTTTCATCTTCTGAATCATTAGTACTGTCGTCTTCACTGTCTTCTGTGTTCCCCGCTGCTGGGGATTTTCCGCCCGTGTCGCCTCCCTTCTCGACGTAGCGCATGAAGGACCTGCGCTGTCTCTCGGACATGAACTTCAGCTCCTGCTGCAGCTCTGCGTCCCTGGCAGCCTCCTCGGCTGGCGTCAGGGTGGCCGGCGTCACCACCTCCTCACTGTTACTACACTTTGCACAGACACCGGCAGTCCCTGGACATGATCATACAACATCATCATCATCAAAGGATGGCAACCATGCATAGTACTGAGTGTTAGGAACACAGCAAGACTGAAACCATAATTGTTATAACTTCTAAATTCTGCCTTTAACCTCTGTGGTCCATGTCGGTGGTGGTCTTCCATCAACTTTTATGAAAGTGATGAAGGCTCTTTAAAATGGACAGATGTCCTACCTGACCTATACTCTACTCTACTCTACTGCACTCTACTCTACTCTACTCTACTCAAATGTCATCAGAGAGGGTATAATGATGGTAAGAGCAGGAAACTACCACCTACATGTAACGTTACTTGTTATACTTACTTGCACATGGCATACACATAATGGTGTAGGCCTGTTTGACAGTCTTCTGCTCACACTTGACACATTTCTTGGGCTGAGACAGCGGCTTGTACTTCTTGTACTTAATCTTCCAGTCGATGACGGATTTACAGTGACCGCACAGCCCTCCCACCACCATGGCGTTCAGCTTCTTGGTCTTCTGACTCTGGTCGTGCATGTTGTTTTTGAAAGCCTTTGTATTCTTGTGTTTTTGCGGGCGTGTACGCGCAACGTTTCCTCTCTGTGAGCTCATTTTGAAAACTTTACCCCTGTGACTTAAATCAGAGAATGGTAAGCCGAATGTGGGCTTTTAAAAATGGAAGAAGAAGGCACGAAAAAAATATTTCTTTCTACATGGAGGCAGCCATCTTGGTTTGGGAAATGCTACTTTGATATAGGTAAGACAGTCTACCCGATATCTTAGATAGAATTGTTACATTATCACATTCGCCTAAAGTGTGAATATAAGAGTTGATAGCACCCGTATCTAAAGACATTGAATGAAGATCTACAGTTTGCAAATTTCAGTACGTATAATGTTACAAAAATAATACAGCACCCCTTCGTTGAACATGGATCAGTCCTAAGCGTTAAGATGGCTGAGTCCAGCAAAAGTTTTCTCGGTCTGTTGAACGGGCTGGCTAGGCGGAGCTATTATGGGGATGAGAACATCACAGACGGCTTTCTGAAGGAAGAGTTGTATCCAGAGATGCCGGAGGGCGACTTTGAAGCGCTGTTGTCCAAATGCAATGGCTTGATAAAGGTAAAATGTAACGGTGAACTGGGCTGGGAGGGGGGCGTCGCATAGTGATTTGATGTAGGCCTAGCCGTGGCGACTCTTGATTCGGGCTTACATTGCATTACCCTCTGCAGAGGTGCATTGCCAATTATTTCACATTTCTGACATTAATGGTTGGTGCTTAAATAGGCCACAATGCAGTTTGTGGTGTCACCATTAACTACCAGAATGTAAACAAACATGGCTGACAGATGTGTTTCAAGCTTTAAAAGACAAGAGTAAGGCATTAATTTTTGCACCTACACTTTGTATTAGAATGTACATGTACACTTAGTTTAGTTACATTTTAAGAATGACCAGAAAATTCACTTTTTGTATTGTTCTTATGTTACATAATGCAGCTTTAACTTAATAGTTTTCTGTGCTCAAGTGCCTATGTACTATATTATATCATTGATAATTGTGGAATTAGTTGTGTAGTGTTACTAGTATTAGTTAGTAATTACTCTTAATTGTCTCATTAATTTGACACGAGTATAAAACTCTATCATTTAGAGCATGGTGTCAGCAGACATGGACTTCAAACAGTTGGAAGCATTCGCCACATCTCAGACCAAACGGAAGCAAGGTGGAATCACTGAAGAGGAGGCCCAGATGCTGACCAAGTTTTGGAAGACACACAAGTCGAAGATCCACCAGGTTGTTGTGAGCAGGTACATGTATATTCACACCTTTGTGCAGGTAAAATTTGGGCTGTGCAGGGTACATTTTGTACGTACGTAACCAGGATGGTACCCACACTAATTTAATGTCTACTTATTACCTGCACTGAACTAGTGCATTAGAAGCATTCTTTGCATTGCGTCAAGCAAATTGTCTAGCTAGCTATACTGGTAGTATAGTGCTGTGGAAACAACCTGTTGGCATATGGATTGGGCAGCTGTGTACTAGTACATGAATCTTTGTACCAACTTTGAAGTTGATAGATCTACATACACATAAATTTGTATAGGATGTACATTGTAATGTACTCATGTTGTTGACGTAAGTATCAAAAGTTGAAGCTTTTGTAGGCAATTGTTTTACTTGGCAAAGTTACTAGTATTACACATCATGGATCCCTTGCAGATGTGCGTGGAACAACAAGCTGAAGGATGTGAGCTGGAGGATTGACCTGAAGATGCAGGCCAAACATGTGGACCAGATCAACCAGCCCACAGCTATTGTAGAGCTGCAGGTGCAGAATGGGGAACAAAAGGTAAGAATAAACACACTCATTTTCACAACCTGTACAATGTGATGCAGTGAGTTCAGTTAGTTCACTTTCTTCAAACCTCAAAGCCAACCAATATTGAGAGATATCTGGCTATCGAATAGCTATGGGGCCGATGTCTGGATGGATTTTGGATGTCTTAGAAGCAGTATAGGTTGAAGTTTTGACTTGATGAGTACTGTAGTTCACTTTATGTTCACGGTAGCAAAAGTTCGTGATCTGAGAAAAATACATATATGTTCACGGAACTACATGTTCACGTTGGCGGCATGTGCAGCAAAAAGAAAGTTGGCAAATTATTATTTAACGGTTATGATAAGCTCGCAGTACAGAAGTGACCACGAAAACCGTGAACATAAAAGTACTATAAAAAAATCAGGAATTACAGTACCTCACTCTTTTTAATAAAGCATTTTCTATACATCAAACTACCTGTATTTCTACATGCAATGAAAGTTAATTTAATTGCCATAAGTTTAGACGTAGCTAAAGCCAGGGGTACAAAATGAGAAGGTTTAAAACTACTTTTGGTTTATCTTTCAGGAGTCTAATGTTGTCAGGTTTGAGATGGACGAAGAAAGGTTATCCAAGGTCGTCAAAGACATTGAGAAGATTGAAGAACAGATTAATGCCCACTGTCAAAAATAATGCACCAGAGATATTTCAAATGATGGACAAATAGGTCCTCTGTAATTTTGAACAGAATATATGGACAATCTTCCTATCATCAGAAACAAGTTTTGAAATTATTTACATGGTAAATGAACTTACTTGTAGTAATGAGGAAAGGATTGCTGTAATATATTAACATTATAACATTAATGATATTTCTTTCAGTTTGTACTGAAAGTTTGTAGATAATCTTTGCAAGAATCAAGACTTAATTTTAACACACATCTATGCCTACAACATAGAAATTTGACATTAATAATTTATATAGTATCTTAACATATTTTAGCATATGCACATTAAGTGGTTGTTAAACAAACTTTGTATCAGTTCTATAACAACAAGTGACTATGTGAACATAGCGATTTAAGGAAATCCAAATTTGTACACTAAGAAAAGAGAGATACAGGATACAGTAGTTTTGGGATGAGAATTTTTCTACAAAATGTACTAGCTAATCACCAGATATTTAAGTCTTGAATATAATCACCGAACATGTTATTTCTGTTGTAACCTGTATGATGCAATTACAAATGTCTAAACTGCAAATGCAAAACTAAGAAATATTGTCTACTTTTCCAAAGAATGGTAAGTTAACAACAACATAGATTTCCACCTTACTTTTGAATGAATGAATGAACTGTCTCAAACAAATACATTGAGTTCAAATGTTTTCTTTTCCAACACCACAACAGACTGCGATTGATTATTTTTACATTACATACATCTGTAAGCATGTGCTGATATTATATTTAAGTGATAAACAATTCGACAAATTTTAACCTCACATACCTGCTTCTATAAGTTATTATAGCTTTTTGCACCAAACTTGTATTGGATACTACATGGCAGGCAGGAAGGAAGGTAAACTTGAAAATCAGGGCTTGAAATACTTGCAGGTAAAATTGGGGCTGTGCAGGTATTTCTGATGCCTTCCTGCACCGAACGTGCACTGATCCATGTACATGTACTAGGTTTATATATTCATGTAGGTGTATGGATTTTGTATTTGCTGTATTGACTGTTACCACCTACATGTATGAAGCATAAGAGAAATAATGGTAATAGTACAGTATTTGAGTTCTGAGTGTTGCAGGTAAAATGTGTCTGGTGCAGGTAATTTTCAATGTTACCCACACCAGTGCAGGTATGTTGAAAAAAGGATTTCAAGCCCTGATTATATGTTACTCCTCTGTGTATAAGTTCATGAATCTCTGGAAGACTTCAGGCCCTCGCTGGCGCATGGTGGCCAGGATACCGAGCGGGTCCGGGTTGATGATGCAAGTTGGAGACTCAACAACATCTGCTGAAGATGGAGAGGAAACTAGTGGAGTTTTCTGACCAGGTTGCACAGAATGAGGAAAATGGTGCAGTCCTTGAGAGACGGTCAAGCGAGCTTCTGCAGTGAAGTATTTAATACACAGTTGGGTTTGTAAATAACAAAGCAAAACATGTCCACGTTTTCCCTGAAGACAGATACACAAGGAAACTGTTACTTAAAGGTAAAACTTTTGTTCCAACACAAAAGGGGAAATCTCACCTAGAGCTTTCAACCAGTCACTATAGTCTTCCTCAGTAGACTGACCCAGTGAGACTTGTCACATGGCTTCTCCGAAGTGTGATGTCAACACTGGGTCAGTCTGCTGAGGAAGACCAGAGAGGCTGGTCGAAAGGTCCAGGTGAAATTTCCCCTTTTGTGTTTTCTTTAAACATGTAACAACCAACACAGAGGAACTTTCATGATAGTAAATTACTCATTGACAAGCAACTGGATAGGTGTTTCACAGTTCACTACTTGAAATGTCTGACAGTTAAAAGTTTGAGTAATATTTTCCTTGTGTAGCTCATTATCTGGATGTCTAACCTACATCGACGTAAACCTGAAGAATTTCATATTACATTGAATTCTTTGATAAGTACCAGTATTCCCTACACACATACCCTAATTGTCTTTGAAGTGATGGTTGTTGTAGATTTAACTAAAATAAATTTTTTGTGAAGCATGTCAATGTCTTACCTGAGGAATCCTGCTGGTAGTAGGTGTGTTGCGGCTCTGTAACTTGTATTGTCTCAGTCCAGTATGATGCCTTTGGTGAATAATAAGTGCCAGTAATGAACGTCTGCATGTTTATAGCTAGGTGCCTGCTAACAGTTTACCAAAACATGAACATAACGGTTTTACCATAAATAAGGACAATATATAACTAGAGGTCGGAGATCTCATGTCTTCGTCAGAGGTACATCGTTAGAAAAATTAACATGCGTATTCTTCACTCTTTTTAATAATCAATTTGGTCTAAAGAACAAAAGAATCTCTGTACTATTTTTATGGTACAGAACACCCTGAAACGGTTTGCCGCAGATTATACAGATGCGTCGTCACCCCCCCCCCCTACGTTATTTGAGTTTGGACTGTTACTGGAAAAAAAAACGTTCAAGAAATTCTTACTGTGTTGCAAGTGTCACGACAGCGCCGCAAAATATAAGAGAAGATGTTATAAAGGAAAGAATCAGAACAGGGTGACTACTGCTGTTTTGTTAATTTGTCTTTATGACAAATAGAAGACTTGTTTCTTGTGTTCTTTGTGTCCTAACATTTGTACTTCTACAGTTAGTATATTCCAAATCTAGGCATCTCGTTTTTCGGCCCTTCGTGTTTTTATTGCGCGCTTGCCTTAAATTTAAGGTAATTAGATTTAAGGTCTCCAGTGGACGTCATCCATAGCAATTACTTGGTGTGGCCGTAGAAAATAACCTGACATATGTCCAACCTATCCTCCCCCTGCTTAAGTTATAGTACAATCCCTCAATGTAACGTCATTTGATCGCATCCCTGGGGTTCCCCGGCTATATCCAGCCGTCGGCTGTCTCCAAGCAGATGTAGGTGGGGGATTTCTAAACACAAAAGGTCCTATTACGGGGACATAACGACCTCCACGACTCTCATCTTTGAACTCAATCTCGGAGACCACCACAGTAACATGCCTATCAAATTTCATTAACTTCCATCCACACATACAAAAGTTATCCTGCTCACAAGAAAAATTAACAAAATGCCCCCTGTAGTCACAACGAAACCCCCCACGAAGCTCAGTAACGAACTTAACCTTGGTCCCGACAATAGTAAGCACCACACCAAGAATTATAATCAACATTTTACAAATACTTGAGTTATCTTGCTAACAAGCCACAAACACAAAAGGTGCACTAACATGACGCACGGACCCCCCACGAAGCCGAAACTTGTACTTGACTTCGGCCTCAACAGCGGTAATCTGCCTGCCAAAAATCATGGACGTCGAATCATGCCTTCCAGAGTTATATCGCAAAATCCGCAGTTCCCCACACTCCGGCGAGACAATTTCATAGTCCTTCTGACGAAGACAATGATGGTGCTAATGACTTCTGTGCCGATGCTAGATCTATAAAATTATTGATTACACTTTTCATTACATTATACCGAGGAAGACACATGAACAAATGCAGCAATACCAGCACTAGTAGTGTTACAATGATGTGATCCTCAGAACAGTCCATATTTTTCTGGAGTGTTGTCTACAGCAATTACACTCTATCAATATCAGCTAGTAACCAAACCATGAACCTGATCAAAGCAGGGATTCGCAGCACTGCCACCATCCAGATCTGTGCTGTACTGCAGGAAGTTGGGCTCTGCTGGAGACATTGTTGGAACCTGGATGATGCAAAGAGTGCCAATGACAGGTATATTGTACTACTAGTAAGTTTGATTATACCATTCCACTTTTAAAGTCATCCAATGCAATTTCAATTTTCTGGTCATTCTTTTAATGTAGTAAGTTGAATCAATCCCATCCTTAGCATACTGATATCTGTGAGGCAAAAATGTTGCTAACGGAAAACTGTTGCTTATTTTGTATTATAGGCTGGTTCTAGATATTTATGGGCGATACCCAAAAAATAAAGAGATGCATAGCTTGTTCTGGGGCTATCTCAAATGCTTGTATAAAATGACATCATGATGAAAATGTACTTAGAAATTGCAGTAAGTGTCAATATCAGACATATTTTGTCATACTGGATATTTTCTGTTTTGCTGCCCTGAAATTGCATTGAATGCCTTATAATTTTTAGATTTAACAAGTATGATTCCCATAAAAATGTATTGAACTAGAGATGTCAGATGCTCAAGTGCATTTACATGTACAGTCTTCACTTTGTCTGCCAATGATGTTCCTTAATAATATCATTCACAGTGCAAGAAAGACTGGAAGAATTCATGGTATAAAGGTTCAGATTATTCTTTGAAACATATTATAAAGATATCAATACCTGCTGTACACCAGGAGTCCTGCAGTGGCCAGGGATATTCCACACAGAGAGTGGTGACTTAGGACCTCTGTACCTCTGCATATCTCTCGTAGACTTGACACTGTATGCAGACGGTTGAAAATTCTCTTCCTCTTGAACTGAGTTGTCACTATCTCTTTTGGTCCTTACCCTTAGGTCAGTGGCATTTGTTGATGCCAGTCTGAAACTGAAACAGGACCGGGTAGGTATACCAGTAAAAGTGCATGTATGCATGGGTATAGTGATAACATTGTTTTACAAAACACATATCCCACAAGTGGAATTCTCAAAAAAGTTGGAAAATAGACCTTTAAAGGCGAGGCATCCAATGCAATTTTGGGGTGACAAAACTGGAAATATTCTGAATAAGGCCATCTGTACCAATTGACACATGCATTAGTAGATTTGCGTCAGTATATCATACTTTGGGTGTTTAAAACAACACGGGAACAAGCCCCAAGATGACTACTTTATTTTCTGGGTAGTTCCCCCCAAAATCAGCCCAGCACCCTTACCAGTAACTGCTTTTCGTCACAATTTTCAGCATTTTTTGCTCAAGAAATGTTAATATAGTTGGGATAGAGTTTGAACTTAGTATGTAGATAAGTGAGTAGAATATTAACTTTGAAAAATCTGTTTTCCTAAAAACTGCATTGGGCACCATTAAGTGATATTGCACCCACCAGTCAAAATCTGTCCGCTTCTTTTTCAGTTGGGCAACATGGTGCTGCACATGGTTGTCATCTCTCCTCTTCCTCTTCCTGTCTCTACCTGATGATCGTAACTTGCTGGGGTGAGGCAAGTCCTTTCTATCCAACCAGTATCTCACTTTCGAGGACCCAGAGGAGGCCTCCCTGTTTACTCTTTGACTTGACTTCTGTATTGTACATGGGGTCATTTCAGTGTGTTTTGTTTTGCAAAATTGTGACAAACAGCTTCCAGTGTGGATGTATTGCAGTTTTATTCTTACGAAGTGATAAGTTGCAATGATGCAATTTTAAACTGTTACTGTAGACTCCAGCTAGATAAAGTGCCATCCCAACTAAATTGAGACTGCATGGAAGAATCAAGGGAAAACTTACCACTCCAAGTAGATCATCAAGTGTTGAAGAATTGTCAAAGAAAGACCTGTTTTAGCAAAATTAAAAGTATGTGTTAATAATGAGTTAACCATTCAATGTTAGCCATTGCAGGTTTTGTAAGGCCTATTTGTGTTTATTGAATGAAGTCATTCAATGGACAATAATATCACAAAATATAGGTAACGTTAAACCACTGACGATGACTCATCATATCCAATGGCATCCCAGTCAAATGTCTCACGACTTGGGTCGACCTCAGTATTCTCTTCCTCCTCCTTTCTGTATCGCTTGACAGTCTTTGACACCCTGAAAAGAGACAAATGCAATTGGATCATGCACAACATTAACTGTTAACAGTTATATGATTTTATCGTAAGAAAAATGCTATTGTTTTAAAATTTGCATGTCATATAATCACCTTCACCTTCACCTTAGTTGTCCCTTCCCAATTCTTAGGAGTCAACAATAATTCCTAGGACCATATTTTGCATCAGGATGTTCACAACTTGATTAACTTAACACAATTGATAACCAAGGAAACAACTTTACCTTGCAAATGGGAGTGAATAGACGCCTTTTGGTCTTTTTGGTCTCCTTTCTAATTCAATCTCGCCAGGACCGTCAGTCAAATTTGAAAGTTCGTCAGCCTGGAAACTATTTTCGTCGGATGTTTTGCTGTTTTTACTCGGCAGCATAATTGCTTATAAGTTTCCACTTTTCGTATTTATGGCCAGGTGTCTTCCAGCGCTATTTAGAGTTCGTCATTTGTGGAAAAGCACCCTTCATCCATAGCTTGCAAAAAGAAGAAAAGCCTCAAATAAAGTCACAGCCATAGCGTAGGACCTGACGTTGTGTACCGCGGCGTAAAATACTCAAGTCGTTTTGCAAAAAAATCAAGAAGTTATCCTCTATTAAAGATGAAAAGGAAGGTTTCCTCAGAAGCAGACGACAAAAACATTCGTCTGTCGTCTGCAACTTTCGTATTCGGGCGCCATTTTGGTGACGTCACATTGACGTCATCGCATTAATTGCTTGGAGACAAAAAAGCTACCAAAATGGCGGAAGGGAAAAGTTGGTGCTGAAGTTCGCGACTAAAACGTCAAACGTGAGTGCTTCCCTGTCAGATCACGAACTTGACGTGTTTATATTGGACATTAATATAGTGTTTAGGAATCGTTAGGGTAGTGGAATGTGATTTGAAGAGTTAATTTTTATGTACGGCGCCGAAAATGGCCTTGGTGCTAGAAAAAAAGTATGAGGCTGAGGGAAGATACACCCACTGTCTATAAATTATGAGTTGGCGTTGTTGGTTGTGTTGGAAACCATGCCCGCAAGGCAAATAAGTCTGGTTATTCATAGGCTCACAGGTAAAATCAAGTTGAACATGCTTCAGTTCTTGATCGTGCCACAATTTTCACGCAACGATTTGTACCAGACTAGTAACAGGAAATCAAGATAATCAAATTTGTCCCGTTTGAGAATGTAGTAGCAACTAGCGTCAACATGGCCGCCATACTAGTATATAAGACATAATATCCACTAGTAACACCTAGCTTTGGTGCACATTGAAGCAGTTATTATAGCCCTGATGAAGATGACAGACGGTCATCGAAACGTAGAGAGTTGTTGTGAATAAACAACTTTAATATTCAATCATTCTCCAACTTGAGGAAATTATATAATTTAGTAGAGTTGTCTCGGAAATAGACATGAGCTATTGGATAGATAGAAGAGGCAAAAAGTACTAGTATATTGAGCTTGTTCACCTAATTTTCATTGACTTAATTGGGCATTTTGTATCATTTTAGCACCAAAAATTGTAATATTTTATTTATTGAAATACTCGTGTGATTGTAATTAACTTCCACTTCTCAACATATTTGTGCAATCATCTCACATTTCTGACATTCATGGTTGGTGCTAAAAACAGCCCACACGAGGCACACTCAATTTTAGGTGCCACCAAAAAATACCAGAATGTAAACAAACATGGCTGACACTATGACAGCTATGTTTAAATGCAAGTTCATCATATTTTGGCACCTACACTTCCTGAATGGCACTGATTTGCATTGAACAATGTAGTAGGTTTTATAAAGAAATGATTGGAATATTTACTTTTTGTTTGTCTTAATGTTACATAATGCAGCTTTAATTACAAAACTGTTAATAATTTCAAGCCCTATTGTTTTGTAAAGAGGCTCCTGCTGGTCAGGTGTGGTTATCAGACTTGGTAGCGATGGCCACCGTACAGAAACCTCGTCCAGCTAAGAAACGCACACAGGTGGAGCCAGCAGCAGAGGACAGCCCTCCTCCTGCTGAACAAGGTATACATACCAGTATTGTCAGCTGTAAAATGTCTTTTATACAATCATGTAGTTCAGGCCATCATTAGGCCATGGTAATTTGATTATATGGTAGCCTGGTTACCAGCAATTTTAACTCCCAGGTCTATATCCTCTCCGCAAACTATGTCATCCACATAATGAAATTAATAATATTATGGCTTTACTGTTCTTTCATCAGAACTGACCAAAAGACCACTCAGGGGGGCCGTTAAAATCTAGTTAATGTGTACAGGTGATCTCTATAGACAGTGGTGGCAGGTGCAGAGAAAAGAAAGTCAGCGAATTATTTGTTCACAATTATGATATTAAAGTTTGCAGTACAGAAGTAACCACAAAAATTATGAATATGTAAGAACCACGAAAAAATTGTGACAGTTACTGTAACTTTTCATTGACTTGTCTCTCGTGCTGTAGGTGCCTGGGAAGATGAGAAGGAGAAGACAGACACAGTCTCCCAGGGAAGTCTGATATCTGTCAAGGCTGCTGAAAATGGCAACATGGCCGACACAGTCGGTGGGGGAGATGGCAAGGTGGGCGACATATTCCTCCTGTTTGTAGGAACGTCAGTGCAGGGGAGAAAAAAACACACATGCAGAACCACTTTGAATACTGAGGTTGAAAACAGACATACATTCAGCCTATAGTATGTTGATATCTGTGAGGCAAAATGTAATGCCACTGACAGAAAACTACTTCTAGCTTGTTTAAATGTCAATAACAGATAGATTTCCTCATCCATAATATTTTTTGTTTCACTGCCCTGAAATTGTATTGGATGGCAATGTACCAATAAAGAATCATGACATTTCATCCATCCTTTCTACATGCAGGAGGAAGGAAGACCCACAAGTCCTGCAGGAAAGTCCCAGTCCTCCAGACCTGGCACTCCCTCTAATGACTTGGACGGAGAGAAGAGAGGAGGGAAGAAAAGGAAGAAGACCAATGCTGTAGAGCCCACCGACAGGCCTGTGTCAGCAACGCCCTCTAGTGGGGATGCCGCAAAAGACAAGGACCATAAAGGTACAATAAATCAAAACGTAAACTGTGATGTATACACCATTGTATAATATCCAGCTGATACAGGGCCATGTTGAGTTGATTATATGGATGATCCTCTGGTAACCCCAAAAGTGATGTAAGCGTGTGAAAAAAAAAGTGCGGCAAAACAAGTTTTATGAAATCTACATGGTCACAGAGTATGGTATGGTGAATAATAGAGTCTTCAGTTTTATTTCTTCACAATTTCCTCTTTTCCTTTTCTCATTCTATGCATTAAGTAGTATCATTTTCCAATTTCTTTGCAATTTACGTAATCTCAAACTCAAAACTCTTCAACAGAAGCGTGGGATGAGAGCAGCATGACGTCAAGTATGGCCGACATGGCTGAAACCAAAGCCAGGACAAAAAAACCAGCCTCAGAGGTAGACCCAGACCTTCCCGGTACCACACCAGCCCAGAACGGAGAGACAGACATCCCCGGTAGCGTGTCGGACCTTAAGACGACCACAGAAGGACGGGGGACGCCCACTCCCAAGATGACAGAGATAGATATGTCTGATGACGAAGATACGGGACAGAAGAACAAGCGTAAGGCTGGGAAAGAGAGGCAGGGCAGCGCTGCATCCACTAAGTCTGCTACACAGGAGACTGGTCAGCTGAAGAGGCCATCCACTGCACCGATGTCCAGGCCTTCCACCTCAGACTCAGCCCAGATGAAACGTCCCAAGACAGCAGGGTCAACCCGGCCATCAACAGGTCAGTCCTATTCAAATGAAAGCTCATCTGTGTTGGTAAAATCCATATATATGTAATATAGTTGTGGTGTTCAAGCTTTGTTCCAACACAAGAAAGGAACTCACCATAAATTTTCGGTCAATCTCGCCAACCTTTGTCAGATGTGTGATCCACTAGCTCTCCGTTTTATCAAGCCAATGTATTGATAGATGAATAAACTGTAACAACTAGGAAGGCAAGGAGCTTTCTTCTATCATTTGAACCAAAATATGACTCCATTTTGGAGTTAATTAAGAACCTGAATCATTTTTTTTTTTGCAAATCAGAAAAAATGAATTTGAGAAGTAACTAATTAAATTGGTGTGGCCTTAGTGTTGTTCTGTAGATTTTATATTAAGAGATGCACATTGTGGTTATTGAATAGATGAATAGATATTAAAGATGAAAAGGGTGAAGTAGCAGTGTCCATCTTATCATGTCCCATCTATCATGTGTTTGGTACTAGATAGATGCCAATAAAACCTTGTAAGTTGCATAAAAGGAGTGCCTGACAAAAATGTAGCATAAACATATAGGTGAAAAAATATGCATGTCATTTTTTGTTCCACATAGCTGGCACCAGACGCAGTCCCGGAGAGGGCACCCACGGTGGCAGTGTTCCCAGCATGCAGTCTGTCATCAGTGTGGAGGAGGCAGGGGCGGACGGTCGCGTGGACAGGACGGGCGGCAAACGGCCGCAGTCAGCTGTCTCTACTGGTCAGGATACTTAATATACATATATATGATGATTTTTAAAGGAAGCCAATGCAATTTCAGATAAAGTCAATTTCTGAACATTGTTTTAACGTTAGTACAAAACATGTACTAAATTTGAATCAGTCCTATTCCATAGCATCATGTGACTACTGTATGTGAGGCAAAAGTTCATTGTTGCTGGCAGGAAACCATTGCTTAAAGGCACCCAATGCAATTTCAGGGAGGCAAAACTGGATTTTCAAAGTCAATTTTCTATTCATTCTTGTAATGCTAGTAAGCTGAATAAGGCAAAAATGCAATGTCGCTGACGGAAAACTGCTTGTTTTGTACCGTAGGCTGGCTCTAGCTATTTATACATGTAGGTAGCACCAAAAAGCAATATAAAAATATGCTTCTCGTAGCTTGTTATTGGGCTATTTCAAATGCTTCAAGTATGAAATGATGATGAAAAGATGCTAAGAAATGGCAGTCAATATCAGACAGATTTTCTTATCCTGACCAGAATATCTTTTGTTTTGCAAAGTTTAGTTATCTTATTTACTATAATTTTTGTTTGTGTAGACACCAGAGCATCCACACCACTGCTGTCCCCTCCCGAGGTGAAAGGTGAACAGCAGGCATATGTTCCTTATGTATATGCAAAGGAGAGCATCGCGAAGGTAAGCAATGATATAATTATATTTATACTATTGATAGCACTGGTATGAGTGGGCCTGGAAACCTCTATGTTTCAGCTTTGCTGTGAAATGGATCAGTACTTCCGGCCTCACTGTTGAAAAAGTTAATCATCATAAAAATAGTTAAAAATAGAAAAAGTACTTAGATGTCAAATCTACAAATATATCATTGAAAGATTGCTGAAGTCCACCTCAGGAATACTTAGCCTTTGATTTATACCAAACACCTGAGGAATTTGAGACTTTGAAACTCAAAAAACACACCCTGAACATATCAACGATATCCTATGTCTTAACTGATTGTTTTTGTTACATAAGGTGATGGATGACATGAAAAGGATGAAGGGCAACCACATCAAGATTGTCGGACAAATTGAAGAAAACTACAGGACGATCGAGAATGAGACACAGGTACAGGAAACCAACTTTATTTACATGTATTAGATTGAAACATTGTGTTGGTGGTGAACAATGGTAAAGAACATTGATTTTCAATTTTAAGAGTCTTATTTTGAGCGTTAATTGTGCTGCTTTGCCTTTCCTTACAGAGCCAGTTCAACATCTTTGTTCTGGGGCTGAGGTCACAGTATGGAGACAAGGTGAAAACCTTCCGACAGGTCATCGAGGCTCACAGGGCAGAGCTGCAGAGGAAAGAGCAGTACTGGGACGAGAGTCTAACTGTAAGTTTTGCAAGCTTCTATTGTAACAAACAGCTACACTTGATGGTCTTTTCCTAGTCTAGCTTGTTTCAGTGGTTAAGAAACTCAGTGAATATAGTTTCATCAGGTTGGTAAGTCAACAAATAACGAGGCTCTTTTTACACAACCAAGTGTTTTATTCGGCTGACGTTTTGGAGACTGTCACCTTCCTCAGGGCAAGTCTGATGGGTTCACATTGTACAGCACAGGTATGGCTGCTAAAGACGTGTTCCCAATTGGAGACTATTTAGTAATAAATATTATGTACAATGGTTACAGGGAACGGTGGAAAGAATTATTAACAATGCGATCCCAAATGTACAGGAGTGTGATATTTACAAATTGAATTGTTGTCAAGTAAACAAGCGGATAACGCTTTGTACTTTTCGGACTGCATTTTTACTTGGCAACAATGTTAAATTTTGGTTAAAAAACTGTTTACCATGTATGGTCTTATATTTGATGTTTATCACTTCACGTATATCCTGAAACTGTGTCGCCCTAGAGCCTGAGCCAGAGAAACAAACAACTTCTGAAGGAGAAGAGAACCCTGCTTATCCAGAATAAAGTGGAGTTTGAAAGGCTGGAGACGGAAAAGGTATAGGTCTAACCTGGTTCTATTTATAAGTGTTTAGTATGTACAATCAAACTTGCCCAAGCGACCACCTCTATAAGCTGACCATCTGAGTGTCCATAATAACCGCTTTTTCTCAGTCCCAATTCCCCCCCCCCTCAAAGACGTAATCATTAAGCTACCGGTACTTGCTTAAGCCAACCACTTGTCCAACGTAAAATCTTGAATCTTTGAAATTATGTGGTATGAATTGGAGTTGCTTATTTGTTGTAGTCATTCTAAAGTAACTACAGTCAGATTTATTGATGTTTTATAATTTGATTCTTACAGAAAGCTGCAGTTGCTGAGCTGACAAAATCTGTCGATCACGAGCACAAAGAATTTCTACAAGGTACAAAATGTAGTAACAATTTCTTTTCATAATTTGTATTATACATATTGCAGTCATATCCTTTTAATACCGTAATGTGTCCTACATGTATATTTTTGTTTTTCAAATTTTTTGATCTGACATCTGAATTTCAAACCCTCTGAATTTCTGAAACGTCATTGAATCATGCATGTTACTATATTGTTAGAACCAATTTTTATTCAGTAAATTGAGGGAGATATATGTCCACAAGCAAACATGAGACGGGTCCTTGAGACAGTTCCGATGCATTGTTAAACTTTATTTGTTGGACCATTTATATCTATAGCCAAAATCTAGAAAAAAAACTTAAAAAAAAAGAACAAGAAAATCCCTACCTACTGACTATACTTTTTTCAGGATGAAAACAGGAAGCACAACATTGATTTTCCTATTAGAGGCTTTATTTAAAAAGTGATGTTTGGAAATTTCTTCATTCAACAGAGAAGAAACTTCATGAAGAAGACAAGGCGTCGTATCTGGAGGAGCTAGATTTCCTTCGCAAGAGTGTCAAGTCCATGGAGGAGAAACATCGCGAGCAGGTCACAACAATGGAGGAGGAGACCAAGGTGGGCATTCTGTTTCTCCTTCTGTTCAGTCATCAGCTTAAGGTGGTATGGAAGGGTGGCTGAGGACTTTGGGGACATCCTAAAAATACTACTTAGGATTACCTATGGTCATTGATTTTTTTTTTGTGTAAGTACCTTAGTGCAAGATGATGATTTATGCAAATTTTGATGACGTAATCATGACGTCATCTCGAGTTATGAGCCACGCCCCCTTTTTAGAAAAATCAATTTTTCTGGCCAGCGCTTTGGTTTTTATTCACCATATTTTGTTGAAAGGCACACACTAGTAATAGAAACAAACGTATGCGAGCATTTTTTAATATCTCAAAGTGTTGATTTTTTATGAATTTTTTTTCATAAATGTCAACAGTGCCATGTGCCAGCACCCCTCCCCAACATATAAAGCGGCGCAGTGTGTCGGCCTCGCATACGATTTTAATTTATAAGCTTATCTTTCAAAAAATACCACCTTTTTGTTCCTTTCCATGAACATTCTTTCCACAGTTTCATTCTTAAAATGCTGTATATGTCGTAGGGGTTACATAATGTCCATTTTGAAGCCCGAAAGAGCCGAAATTGCCAATTTTTTGTTGCCATTCCAAGGGCGCCCATCCCTCCCACTGAAAAATGGGTCATTGACCTTTCAGCACGCTGTATTTAGCTTACTGAGGCGCTATTTAAAAAAACAGGCCGTGGGTAAGGTCCAGTAAAAAGAACAGCCAAAAGAACGCTAAGATTTCGCGCGAGGAGGGGTCACGTGACTCACTCAAAATGGCGGATGGCGTGTCTTGTTTGCGAGCGGAGAAGCTGTGCGCTTTGCGGCAGCATTTGGGCCGGTAGACGATCTTTTTCACGGCCATATCCTACGTAGATTTGCAGATGGAGGTTTATGGACTATTCTGAGACCTTATTGGAGAAAATCTGCCGGGGTATTCTGGAGTTACGGACTTGTTTTTTAGGCCTACCCCCAGAGGAGATTGATGATCAGCAAGATCACAACACTGAAAAGTTATCGCGCGATACCGGAGTAGATAGCCCTGGAAAAAAGCTTGCCCGGACGTGGTATGAGATTATGAGCGAATATAATTTTGTTGATTATGTGAAGTTACGTTGCACGTTGTCCTAGATTTTAAAAAAAATTACTAGTAGTTCTTATCATGTCGCGTGCAGTGCACA